ATATATATATATATGAGTATACATCTCTTAGGTATCTCTTGATTGTGATAAGATTAGTTATTAGTTATCCATAATCGTTACTATTTATCTTTAATTGTTACTAGTCGTATATTTATACGGGTCTTGTATATTCTTTATTTACTCAATCAATAAAGAGAGAGTTACAATATTCTAAAATAATTTTATATGGGGGCCTAAGGCCCAAATATACAGAAATATAGTTTCTAACATATATAATAAGGGGGAGTGATTTCATGCAACTGTTATATAGTAATATAACGAAACAATATTCAAAAAATATGTTACGGCTATTCGTTTGACCATAATTTTCTAAATATACATTCTTTTCATTCTAATGAGCAATAGAAGCAAAGAAAAAAAATTCAAAACACACTTTAGAAAGTGTTTTTCATCCCAATTAGTATAGGTCGTCCATTTTAGTGGGACATTTAGATCTAGGCCTTAGAATGACTTTTCTCTTTCCAAAATTTTTAGATGTCTTTATTGCCATTAGAAGAACAAATTAAAAAACTTAATAATTTTTTTTTGTACACTTGAATTTGTGTTGATCTCAAAGAGAGATCAACCTAAATACTATGCAAAACGAGATAATTTTAGAGATCAATAGAGAAAGTGGGGTCACTCAAATTATAGGCTTAGAAACATTGCTTTTAAAATTTAACTAAACCTAATAATAAAGAAATAACTGGAAAAATAAAATAAAACAGAAAATCAAAGGAAGAAATAAATAAATAAATAAATAAGAGAGAAACAATGCACATACTAGATAGACCCAGATTTGGGGCCCGAATTAAGACCACGAGTTGATTTATATATTTTGATGTTTTCTCTTGCCTTCTTGAAGTATAGCTATAGGTTTTTGTTCTAGGAGAACTTGTTCTTATGAATTGATCTTGGTTTTTTGAGAGGTTTTGGGCTTAGGAGCTTTTGCTTCCTATTTGGCAACCTAGATTGGGCTAATAAGGTTATCCAAGTTTTCCGCTCTTCTCCGTCGTTTGGATAACATAGTGTGGACATGGTAATTCCATCGAAAAAGTTGGAATAGCGGAATCCACCCTTTTATTGGATAAGTCAATGCCCGTGGACCCGAAGGGGCCGTTTGGATCCATGGAAAAAGATTATGAGAAAACATCTATTTCTTTTAAAATGCATTTCGAGAAAAGTATTTCTTATAAAATAGGTTTCGGTTGTTTGAATACTACATGGATGCATAACATTTTTATTTTATTTTTATATGTTAAATAATTTTATTCTATCATTCATTATAATGTCATTTTTTTTATTAAATTTGAGAAAGTTTCTCTCTCGATAGTTTCTCTCTCCAAATATTTGAGATATTTTTTTAAAAAAAAATTTCAAGTAGTTTCTCTCTCTAAAATTTGATATAGTTTCTCTATAAAATTTTAAGATACTTTCTTTCCTTAACACTTAAAATTTGAAATAGCTTTTCTCTGTACAAATTTTGAGATAGTTTATCTCTCTAAAATTTGTAAGTACTTTCTCTCTCTCAAAATTTTGAGATAGTTTCTCTCTAAAATTTTTAAGCACTTTCCTTCTATAAAATTTGATATAGTTTGCTTCTCTAACCTTTTAAGATACTTTTCTCTATAACACTTAAAATATGATATAATTTCTTTCTCTAAAAATATGAGATAGTTTCTCTCTCGAAAATTTTTGAGATTGTTTCTCTCTCTAAAAATTTTAAGATACTTTCCCTCTACAGTATTTAAAATTTGATTTAGTTTCTCTCTCTACAATTTAGAGATAGTTTCTGCCTCTAAAAATATTTTCAAATACTCTTGCTCTCTAATACTTAAAATTTGAGATAGTTTCTCTCTTTAAAATTTTTGACATATATTTTTTCTCTAAAAAAATGGAGATATTTTCTCTCTCTAAAAAAATTTGAGATGCTTGCTCTTTCTAAAACTTAAAATTTGATATAGTTTCTCTCTCCCAAAAGTGATATGATTTCCCTTTCTAAAATTTTAAGAAACTTTATCAATCTAAAACTTAAAATTTGATATAGTTTGTCTTTCAAAAGAAGTTGTGATAGTTTCTCTCTAAATTTTTTTCATACTTTCTCTCTAAAACTTAAACATTGAGATAATTTTGTCTCTAAATGTTTTGAGATAGTTTCTCTAATTTCTTTCTAAGACTTAAAATTTGATGTAATTTCTCTTTTAAAAATTTTTAGTTTCTCTCTAAAAATATGCGATAGTTTCTCAATCTAAATATTTTCAGGTACTTTCTTTTTCTAACATGTAAAATTTGAGATAGTTTCTCTCTCAAAAATTTTTTAGATGGTTTCTCTTTCCAAAACTTAAAATTTGATATAGTTTGTCTCTCTAAATTTTTTGAAATAGTTTCTCTCCCTAAAAAATTCTAGGTCCTCTTCTCTAAAACTTAAAATTTGAGAAAGTCTCTTTCTTTAAAAAATTTTGAGATAGTTTCTCTTTATTAAAATTTTTTTGATATAGTTTTTCTCTCTAATACTAAAAAATTGAGATAGTTTGTTGCTCTAAAAATTTTGAGATAGTTTATATCTGAAAAATTTTGTATGCACTATCTTTGTCTAAAACTTATATTTTGAAATAGTTTCTCTCTAAAAGTTAAAATTTGAGATAGGTTCTCTCTCTAAAATTTTTGAGATAGTTTCTCTATCAAAAAGTTTTCATGCACTTTCTCACCATAAAACTTAAGGGCAAGCTTTTGAGGCTTTCCCTAGAGCATAAAACTTATATACTTCCCTTTATCCAACCGTCTATTCTCAATGGAGGGCTAAGATTGCCCCAATCACAATATCATGTCTCTACACTATTTTATTTTTAATTTTTTTTCCATAAACTATTTTGACACGAATTTTGGAATCCAATCCTCTATTAAATTTGCACTAGCAAAAAATATTAAAAACTATTTCCAATAAAATAAAATGACCAAAATACCTCTGAAAGTTTCAAGGCGTATTTTGGTCATTATATTTTATCGAAAAAATATTTTTAATATTTTTTATAGGTGCGCCCCAATGAGAAGATGGCACGTAACAAATTTCATATTCATACAATTTGTATAAAAAAAAAAACTAAAATAAAATATTTTGAGACATCGGATTTAAGATCAAACGGTGAGTGGCTCTCTTGATCAAACTTGGACAGTTGGATGGTAGGGGAAGCATAGATCTTCTATGCTATAGGGGAAGTATAGAAACCTTTTCCAAAACTTAAAATTTGAGATAGTTTCTCTTTAAAACTTAAAATTTGATATAGTTTTTCTCACTAAAACTTAAAATTTGATATAGTTTCTCTCTAAAATTTTAAAATATCTTCTCTTTCTAAAATTTAAAATTTGAAATAGTTTTTATCTATAAACATTTTGAGATCAATTCTCTCTCTAACTATTTTGATAGTTTCCTTATCTAAATTAGAAATAGTTTCTCTCTCTAAAATTTTAACGTACTCTCTCTAAATTATAAAATTTGATATAGTTTCTCTCTCTAATTTGTGAGGGTGTTTTGTGAAATTATATTAATTGTATTTTATGAAGTGGTTTTTTCGGTAACCGAGAAATCTAGCCAGAAATCAATTTCGAAGGGTAAAGACAATGATATAGATTTATTTATTTTGGGTGCGGTTTATATAGAACCTAGGCTCTAAATAATCAAATTAGAGCTTACTTTCAAATAGTACCGATAAATGTGGTTTCAATACTAAAAATCATTGTCATAGCCTTAAAATATATTTTCATCCTTATTTATAAAGTTTAAAGCTCCAAAAATTATGTAGATAGATAGATCTATGAAAACTTAAAAATCTTTAAAATTGACGATAAAAAAATGCCATACAAAATCCACTATTTCCAAAACGTGAAATCCATGCATCTTGATGTCAAAACAACTCTTCTAGTGAAATTTTTGATGTACTCTCTAATTTGATGTTTAGAGCCTCAGCTTTATATAAATTTTTAGGAAAATATCTTATTAACTTTTATTTTTAACTTCTATATCTCAGACCCAATAATTGAAAATATTACTTGTAAGCAAAATGACTCATCTTTTCTATCTTCCAACTCCTAAGGCTTTTTGACCATATATTATTGACCTCAATAATGTATAAAATGACTCTATATATCTCTCTCTAAAACTTCATCTCTCTCTCAACTCTATTTCTCTCTAAAACCCAAATTCCATCTCTCTCATCATTGTTTCTCTCTCTATCAAAACTCCCATCTCTTTACCTAAAACTCAAACTCTATCTCTCTCTTTAAAACTCCATCTCTCTCACAAACATAAGAAGATGTGCTCGTGTTCGAGCTCAAGCTAAACCCTTTGGTTGGTAAACTCATCGAGAAGCGAAGAGAGACGGATAGAGTTTTAGAGATAGATGGAGCTTGAATAGGGTGTCGTTTTAGTATTTGTTAAGGTAAACTTTATGGTCAAAAGGATCTAGGGTAGTAAGATAGAAAAAAAAAGAGACATTTTACTTATAAGTAATATTTTTAATTTTTGGGTTGCATAAAATACAAAACTTACAAAAAAAAAAAAAAAGGATATATTTTTCCTAAATTTTTTCTATTTATTTTTTACTTGGAATAAGAAAAATATTTTTCTGTCCCAAAATTTGATGAAAACAGATCCGGTTAAAATAACTTTCGATCGGAAAATTTTGATCCAACTTGCTTGAAACGAGCAAAACAATTACTGCTGTAAATATTTTTCGGTCCCTAAATTGCCTGCACGATTTCCTTCTTCCAGGTATCCATACGGGCCCGAAATACTTAGCAAAATGTAATTTTGGCCGACAGAATTTGAAGTTTCTCTATCTGCGAGTTTCTCTCTGCGCCATTGCACTAACCTCTGCGAAGAAATCTCTTTCTCCGCGGGTCTCTCTCTGCAACGAAGCCCTAAACTCTGCAACGAAAGTTTCTCTCTGCACCATAGCCCTAACCTCTGCGAAGAAATCTTTTTCTGCAACGAAGCCCTAACCTCACTACGCTCTGCAAGTGTCTACAAAGGTCCAAGCAGAGGTAACAACTTCAAACAGAACTTGAACGCTGCAATATAACTCATGAATGCAGCCGCCTCTTAACGGTGCTCAGACTTACTAGGGCTCCCAATATAACTAATTGAGATTCTGTTTTTGTTGCATGATCCTACACCCTGCTTTCATCATTTGTTGTGAGCACTCTGAATTGGTAGTTTATTTGGACCAGAGATGTTTGTAATAGAGAGAAATGTGTTAAGGAGATCTGTTTTCACTCATTTGAGTGCAAACCTGCAAAGTAAATTTGATGGGAAACATGAATAGAGCTGGTTTACCAATTTTATGTGTTTGTTTGCCTCACTCTTCGTCTTACTTTTCTGAAATTGGGTCATGGACATTTAACTCATTTTCACGGGCCTTTCTTTACATTTGTTTTTTTTGAAGACCATAATACTGCTTTATTTACTCTTTTTTATCTGCTTGCAGCTTTCTTTGCTAAAATTAGGTCATCTATACTTCATTGGTTTTTGTGGGTTACACAATGTGTTTCACTTGAGACTGAGATTTTGTTTTCTGAAATTGGGTCATTGATGTTTCACTGGTTTTTATTGGTTTTGCATGAAATTTAATCCTTTGGCACGAGCCATACTCGTTTAGTTGCTCTTCAAGTATTTACTAATTAATTTGGTGACTTTTTCTTCGCCCTTCCAGTTATGGTCTCCATTCCCTGTTTACATCTTGTATTTATCAAACTGCTTGATTTCCAGTTTTTCTAAAATATGTCAGTTGGAGATATTATAGCTCAATTTGCTATTTTGTGCAGCACAGTGATGACTTGGTTTTTACTGGGCAGTTACGTTCTGTATTGTCGGTTATCAATGTGCTTCCTTTTCTTTTTTCTTGGCTTGATATATATGGTTCATGTTTGCTACCTATGTTTGATGTCATGAAAATAAGATTTGGTTTACTTGCTTGCAGAAGTTTATTGCGCAAGGATGAGAGAGAGAGATCATTCAAATCCAAGACCTATGTGAGACAGACGTTTCATTCAAATCCAAAGCAACAATGGAAAAGAGAAATATAATTCAAAATCCAACTTAGAACTGAATCGTCCCAAAGTATCCTTATCAATCACCCCAAAGGACCCTTATCAACTAAGTCCCAACAATCACCCCAAAGGACCCTTAATCTTCAATTAAGTTTTTTTTTCTAAAAATATTACATATTAATAAGTATCTATCTTTAAAAGGTATTTCAGAGAGAGAACCCTTTTTTCAACAGATTTGAATGAAACTTCTCTAAAACTAAATGTAGAGTAATAATACAAAAATTGCAACTGAATTTCCAATTTCCATGGATTGACATCTTTCGGGCAATCCTAACAGTGGACAAGATTGTCCATGTTTCTTATCAGGTGCTATCCAAACATCAGACAACCCTATCCCAAGGGCAGACCAATTCCAGGAGAAGCCAATTCCAGTATAAGCCTATCCCCAGGACAGGCTTCTTCAGGTACCCAAATGAGCCCAAAAATCTCTCCCACTCTCTCCCTCAATCTCTCTCCTCTCTCCCACTCTCTCCCTCTCTATCATGATTTCTCTCTCTCCCTCTTTCCTAAAATCTCTCCACCATATTTCTCTCTCCCTCTTTCCTAAAATCTCTCCCCCATATTTCTCTCTCCCTCTTTCCTAAAATCTCTCTCTCTACTGAATAAATATGAAAATGAATTTAGGAACATAAAACCAATATCTATCTCCTCACGAGTTGAATATCAGTCTGTCTCTCTCTCTTTCTCTCTCTAAGTTCTATACCCTAAATTTATAGGCGCAGAGAAGCGGCTTTATTATGAAGAAGCCTTCTTTGACCCTAAATTTATAGGCGCAGATCGGCGGCTGAGGGAGCCTTCTTCAACCCTCTGACTTTAATGCAGTGGAACACGTTTGTTCTCAGTTTACTTTACCTTTAGTTTGTTTTATGTGCTATGTTAGGCAATCATCTTGCTTAAAGTTCCAACTGTGTAGGATTTGAATTTAGTAAATCAGTGTGTTACTGTGTTTTGGATGAGATTTTTTGTATTGTAAAATTTTAATTTAAAGATGTGTGTTTCTGTGTTTTGGATGATGTTTTTGTATGGTAAAATGTTAAATAAAGATGAGCGATGATTAACATTCGATGATGAGACCCTTCCTAAGTACTTGTTGATAGAAATATTACTAGTTAATTATTAAAAGTTTAATCAAGTTTGTTTTAATGTGAAACATATTTGATAATCGCAATTATATGTATTTAGGATTTTTTGGGTAGGTGCCCTGTTCTCATCAAATAGTAACCTCCACTTTGAGCTAGAACACTCCTTTCTAGTTGATTGCAGCCCTTTTTGAGCTCTTTTTAGACTATAGGGGCTTCTTTGTGTACTTTTGAGACTTCCATTTTGCTCTATTTGTGATTTTCTATCTTTTTATTAAACCTCATTTGGATGATTCGAATGTGTTTTGAACAGGTAAACCCCCCATTCTGCAAATGCATCGCCATTCACTCATTTTACGGCGGCTTTTCTGCAAAAGAATCCTTGTTAAGCTTGATTCTGGTCATCAATGGCGATTTTTTATGAGCCCACTTTCACATTTCTCAAAATCCAACGACCCAATTTTAGAAAGCTCTCTCTATGGTGGCTCCCTCTCTCTTTTCTCAACTCAGAGTCATTCTCAATATAGGGGTGAGCTTTCTCACTCATTTGGCAAAGAAGATGGAGTTAGCATTTGCTCAAGACTCTGGATTGAGAGTTTTAAAGAACCCAACAAGACTGTAACTAGTCTGACTTCTTATCTAGGTAGAATGGAACTATGGGTTCTTGCTTACCAGAAGGTTTGTGCAGATGAAACTGGTTCATATCTACCCAAAAACATGATCGATAAGTCAGCCATTGAAAGACTTTCTGTACTAAGAGATGCAGTGCTTGATTCAAGGTTTAGATGGGGAGCAAGGCTTGAATTCTTCATTCGTTCTCCAAAAGATAAGGTTGATATCCAGTCTCTCTCTAAACGTAAGCTGAAAATCTTGATGACCTCTTCTCAACCACCTCCATTTCAAGACCGAATTATTCAAGAAGTCCTCTTCATGATCCTTGAACCGATATATGAAGCCCGATTCTCTCAAAAGTCTTTTACCTTTAGGCCTGGTAGGAATGCCCATACTGCTCTCCGTGTAATTCGAAGGAGCTTTGCTGGTTATTTATGGTATATCAAAGCAGATTTAAGCACATTTTTAGATGGGGTCAAAGTGGGTATGGTGATTAATGCTTTGTTAAGAGATGTTCGAGATAAAAAGGTGATTGATTTGATAAAATCTGCACTTGTGACTCCCGTTATAACTGGTCGGCCTGAAAATGAAGAAGAATTGAAGAAGAAAAAGAAAAAGAGGAAATATCAGAAGAAGAAGGTATTGCCAGATGATGAGCCAAAACCTGATCCATATTGGTTGCAAGCATTCTTTGGTTTTGCACCAGAGGAAGCTGAGAAGGTCCCCTCTTGGGGTCACTGTGGAATTCTAAGTCCACTTTTAGCAAACATTTGTCTTAATGAATTGGACCACTGGATGGAGGATAGAGTCAATGAATTCTATCGCCCCTCTAAAACTGATGTTATTTGGAATGAACCCAATGGGGAGGAAGATAAAGGGAACACTTCTTGGCCTGAATTTGTTCCAACCAGTGGGCCTGATAAAACTAGAAAAATGGATTATATTCGCTATGGTGGTCATATTTTGATTGGAGTGAGAGGCCCAAGGGCTGATGCCTCCACAATAAGGAAGCAATTGATAGAGTTCTGTGAACAAAAGTATCTTATCAAGCTTGATAATGAGAGCTTGCCAATAGAGCATATTACTAAAGGAATTCTGTTTTTGGACCATGTCATATGTCGAAGGGTTGTCTATCCTACTCTTCGTTACACGGCAACTGGGGGGAAGATTATCAGTGAGAAGGGGGTCGGTACACTTTTATCTGTTACAGCCAGCTTGAAGCAATGCATTAGGCAATTTAGGAAGCTAGAGTTTCTCAAGGGAGATAGGGACCCAGACCCACAACCTTGTTTTCGGATGTTTCATGCTACCCAAGCTCACACTAATGCACAAATGAACAAGTTTCTTTCCACTATGGTGGAATGGTATAGATATGCAGATAATCGCAAAAAAATTGTAAACTTTTGCTCTTATATCATCAGAGGGTCTCTTGCTAAGCTTTATGCCGCGAAGTACAAGCTTAGATCTCGAGCCAAGGTCTATAAGATAGCATCAAGGAATCTCAGCCGTCCCTTGAAGGAGAGGAAGGGACAATCACCTGAGTATCACAATCTTTTGAGGATGGGTCTTGTGGATTCAATTGATGGGCTTCATTACACAAGAATGTCCCTTGTGCCTGACCCTGACTATAATCCATTCCCAAAAGGATGGAGGCCAGAACATGAGCAAGTTTTGCTTGAGTATATAAAATTGGAGGACCCAAAGGCCTTAGAGGAGCAGAGGAAATCTTTTACGGAGCTTGGGCTTATTTCTCCACAGGATTATATCTCAATGCTTGTGTGGAATTACAAAAGGAATGTTATGTTTACCGATCAGGTACATGCTATTGAAAGCCATGCCCAAGAGCGAGAAAATGAAGTTTTGGTTGAATCAAATGACAAAAATAGTATAGATGATGAGGAGAGAAATGGAGGAGTTATGCATGCTGCACAGATGTGAGAACCAGTGCTCTTTCTTGTGCATGCAATGGACATCACATTTCTGCACTTTAAAGAGGAAAATGCAAGGTGATTCCTTTTCCAATATTTAGAAGAATGTTTTAGAATCTATCCATGATAAAATCCATGGGATTCTTTAGTTATGATTCCCATACTCAAAATTTCAATGTGACATATTGTTACCAAAACAACTGCTTCCTTTCTCTCTGTAACAGAAGTTTTGTAGTATAATTGTTTCAAATAGATTTTTTTATATTACTGCAATTCTCTTATTCTGATGTATGCTTAGGATGTTTTCCGAGGTTCAACTTTTGGGAGTACAAGATGGGTCTGGTACTAAAAACCAGTCAAAATTTTTGTATACATGTCTAGTGATGGTTTCTTAGTGATAGAAAGGTTGGAGCATAACAAAGAAGCTGTGTAATTTGCTTGGACTATCAAGCTGTTTAGTAATTGTTTTTTTGGTAAGTGAACATTAGCTCAAGAGAGTTGAATTCAGCAAGGATAAATTGATCTTAAGCTTTGTTTATGTAGATTATAAAGGCTTATTTGGTAAGCCTTGAAATATAAAAGCAATTCAGATCTTTCATGAGAACTTATCTGCAGGGTTATATTTGCAGCACTGCATGAATTTCAAGTCTGAATAGAATGATCTGCTTTCCTTTGTAAATTGTCTTCAACAATTGGAAAGACCAAAACACTTGAAAATTTTGTATCAAGAAGTAAATACATATAGAGTATATCTATGAATATCAAACGGTCTTTAGCTCCTAGATTCAAAGAAATTGAAGCTGGACCCTAACATCAGAAATAACAGTGTCAAATAGCCATAGTGTTTTGCCAATGCATAGGCCTGACATGGCTTTATTAAATAGAAAAGGAAATCATGCTAGAGTTCAAGTTACAGGACATAGAGATCTCATATGTCTATCAACAACACAGAGAAATTGCAGGTACTTATTGAAGAATATATTTCTTACATGAGACTCATGATATGGATTGCTCAACAAACCAAAGCAACTATGGAAGAATATAGGAGTCTTATTGTTATGTTGTCTTTCCAAATCAGTCTAAAAATGAATAATTGGATAAAAAATTAACTCTACAATTTTTGTTAGTGATGATTGATGGAAAATCTAGCAACATATATTGTATTAGGGAAACTTCTTTTCACCATTGAAAGAGCTCGCTTCCTTTTATCACCTTAATGAAATAAACCAAGATGAAGATTTTCCTTGAAGAACTTCCAATAGACAGAGCTTGGAGGAATTGTGTCGACTTTTGAAGAACTTCCGATAGACAATTTTTTTAGATAAAAAAACATAAAAGATATATTTTTTTATCATTGCAAACATAAAAAAATAATATTTATGTGGAAAACTCAATAAAGTTGTGAAGTAGAGTAAAAATTTGTAATTATTTTCATTGCTTGTAATTTTTGTTTATTATTTTGTACTTCAAATAAAACAACCGCACCACAAAATAAGACCATGTACAAATTAATTCAAAGCAAGTGCTTAGTAAATTTTTAAAAAATAATTATGTACCTTGGGAGAAGCAAGGTTTATCTTACCTTTAAAGATTAATGTGTTTCTCAATCTTCGCAAAATGGGAAGAACACTTAAAAAAAAAATCTTCACAAAATGGGAAGAACACTTAAAAAAATATACAAACAGAGGTAATACAAAAAATAAATAAAAAGAATTGACTTGCCTTCAATATGAACACCTAAAAAATTCAAATCAGAGATAATGGAAACTATTCACTGGTAGTTTTACCTGCTTTAGATCAAAATGGAAATATAATGTTGAATAGAAACATGTTACACCCACACAATTAATTGATTTGATTGAATAACCAGCTTAGAGATTTAAAATGGTTTGTGATTTTTGCATCTTGTGATTTGAGGTATCTTTCCTTCTTGCTTAGATTTTGAATTTTTGATTCAGTAACTAGTTTGGAGACTTATGAATGACCTATGCATTTTGTGGCTTTTGTTTTGAGGCTGAGCTACTATGTTTTTCACTTGAGTTTTGAGGTCGTTCTTTAACTTGTCTTCTCAATTCAAAATGGTTAATTCACTCTGAGACTTAGATATTAGAAGCCAGAGTCAGTAACCTCTGGCCACTATCTATATGCACATAGATGCCTTGGAAGTTGTACATAGTTTATGTATGGATGCACAGCTATTTGGGTTATGATATAGGGCTAGCAACAGGAAGTATGATTCTTTGTTGTGGTGAAATGGAGCTAGTCTGTGTCTGGCATTTGGGTTTGGCATTGAGAGGTCTAGTCACATCAGAACTACTTTGATTTCATGATGTTTGAGGCATTCTTTTTTGTTTGGTTTGTGAAGTTTTCCTTCTTATATGTTTATTATTGAGTTAGAGCGGCTAACCACTTTTTAAACACTTATCATAGACAACCATGACACTAAAACCCAGCAATTCAACTTTCTCAACTGGCTGTCCTGTAGCAATTCAACTTTATTGTGGGGCCTTCAAATTCTGGCTGGATGTGGATTCCTAAGGAATAAACCACAGATTTTGACTTTATGAAAATGAAATGTTAGCAACCTGTGTACTCTTGAAGCACAAATAAATAAACCACAGATTTTGACTTTATGATTTCTCCTTGTTTTGAATCATATTTAGGGTGATATGATTTGTGAGGTCTTTTTGCTTCTCTCAAAATTTGGTATTCTTTATGCTTGTCTCTATAAGTATTTGATGTATATAGACATGTTATTGTTTGAATTTATTTTTCATCCTATATTAGTTTATGGATTTACTGAATTTGGGAGTAATAGTTGTGTTAATTTTCCTGATTTGAGTTATGTCACATATTTGTTCGCTATAGAAAAGTTCGGTCTTATTGTTTACATGAGTGCCTCTTATCGTTCTTGATAAAGGGCAACTTAATTAGAGTTTTCAATGGTCTTTTAGATTCTTTACTTATTTGTTTAACCTCTTTTCTTTTGCTTTCCTATTTTTTTTCTCTAGATCAGTTCATGTGTTCCAATTTTTGATGATGATGAGAAACTAAGATTTTGGTTGCGGCTTAGTTTAAATAAAGATTGTTAAGAGTTAGCATTATTATGTCGGTTTGCAGGTTAATTGTTAACAAAGATGTCTGAATTTAGTGAGACTGAGAACACTCTAGAAAGCCAAGTGGCTCCAACAGGTCCAACACGAAGGAAGTTAAGATCTAAAGTTTGGAATGATTTTACCTTCGAAACTAAAGATGGTTCCAGTAAAGCCATGTGTAAGCATTGTAATCATGTCTTTGTGGCAAATAGTAGTGATGGGACAAACCACCTTATTTGTCATATTAGAGGTTGTCTTAAGCATCCACATCAGGATTTGCAACAGTCATTAGCTGGGGACCTTGAAACATTTAAGTTTGACCAAGAAATTAGTCGTAAAGCATTTGCAAATATGATTATTATTCAAGAGTACCCATTTCGTGTGGTTGATCACCCTGCTTTTAGAGAATTTATTAAGACCGTTCAACCCATGTTTAATATGGTAGGACGAACTACAATAAAAAAATGATTGCATATCTATATATCAAGAGGAAAAAAAAGTGATTTTTGATGTTTTAGAGAGATCAAATGGTCGAGTGAGTCTTACCACTGACCTTGGACATCCAATCAAGCTCTTGGATATATGTGTCTCACGACGTACTATATAGGTAGTGATTGGATTTTAAGAAAAAAGATCATAAATTTCAAGTTGGTGCCATATCAGCACTCAGGTTTAGTTATCTTTGATGCAATTGAAGGATGTATTTTTTATTGGAATTTGAAGGATAAATTGTTTGCTATTACTTTGGATAATTGCACTACTAATGATGTTGTTGTGGAAAAATTAGAAGAGAATTTGTCTGAAAAGCTTTTACTTGGAGGGAATCACTTTCACATGAGATGTTGTGCACACATTTTGAATACTATAGTGCAAGCAGGGTTGAAAGTAGTACATAGTGCTATTGAAAGAGTGCGTGAGCTTGTTAAATATGTTAAGCCATCACCATCTCGGATGCAAGTATTTAATGAAATTGCACAGCAATTAAGAGTGCCAAGTAAAAAGGGTTTAGTCTTGGATGTTCCCACATTTGACATGCTTCAAAGTGCATTGACCTATAAAGAAGGTATTTGGTCGATATGCAAATAGTCATCATTATGATAGAGCTCCATCTGTAGATGATTGGAATAAAACTGAAGTAATTTGTAAGTTTTTGAAAGTTTTTAAGGAAGTTACTAATTTATTTTTTGGGAGCAATTATCCTGCAGCACATATTTACTTTTCAGAGGTTTGGGGCATTCAAGATATGTTGATGGAAGAAACTAATAAGATGAAACCATAGCATCGATAGCTTCCGTGATGCAAGAAATATTTGTCATTGGGGGGGGGGGGGGGTGAGTGGGCGGGGGGAGGGGGTCTGAATGCAACTTAACAATGGCAATAGCAACAATTTTGGATCCTAGGTTAAGTTAAAGTTTATATAATATTGCTTTTTGACAAGATATGGTGGTAGTGATGACAGTGAGGTGAAACTCAAGATTGTTCTTGATAACCTCTATTATTGATCTGAGAAGTATTTGGGTTTCGCACAATCAACAACTTCTAATATAGAAAACGAAGCAAGTAGTATTGGGAGTTCAAGCTCTTTGGTTGATAGAGGTACAAAGAGGCTCCATTTAAACTTCAACCAATTCCTCAACCGAACTTCAGTTGCTCATCCCCAAAAATAAGATTTGGATTATTATTTAGAGGATGATTTGGTTCCTCAAGATGAAGATGGGGCCTTTGACATCTTGTGTTGTTGGAAACTTAGTGCATCGAAGTATCATATTTTGTCTAAATTGGCTCGAGATATTCTGGCAATTCCGCTGTCCACCTACCCTTAAGAGTCAGCCTTTAGTACAGGTGGCCGAGTACTGGATCAGTATCGTAGTTCCTTGCATCCGGCTACTGTGGAGGCTTTGATGTGTGTTCAGGACTGGCTACCCTGAAGGTAAATAAATATTCCATGTCTTTAAGTACTACTGGTCATGTTTATATATTTATTATGCATTTTAGTTATGGTAATTACCAATTGAGAATGGGGCTGGGGTCGTGGTGATAGCACTACTTGTGCCCTAACTAAGGTCTAGGCTTCTATTCTCACCTAACACTTTAAAAAACTATTAACGATTTCAAAAAACGGGTAGGGGCTCGTCATCCCCATTGGATTACCCAAAAAAAAAAAAATACTAATTGATATTTGTGCAGCTGCCGGGAGCTCGCTATCATGTCTTGACCAGGAGATAGAGGGATGATTGCTTTTGGTGTGACTATTCTGGTATAATTCTTACTTTTCTCTATTCATGTAATTATTTAATCTTCCCATTCTTTTGAAATCACTTCAATGACTATTTTTGGTATAATTCTTATTTTTTCTTTATTTGTATAATTGTCCAGGTTGGGGACATTCTGCAAGAGGAGGGCATGTTCAGGTTCACATTTTCTCCTTTTTCTACCAATTTGATTTTTGTGTGGATTCTTTTGCTTTTAGCATGGCTGAATTCTTAGAGTTTCTTAAAATAATGGAAGCCATACATGTATCTTTTTTAGGGACTTAGATAGGTTTATGAATGAATATCATACCCACTCTCTCTACTTTGTCCTCATGATTCTTTCTGTCTTTTACATTAATCTAAAGCCAAGTTATAGGCTTCTTCTATCCTCTAGAGAGAGAGAGAGAGTAGACAGAGATAGTATACAAACCAACAAGAAGCACTTTGCATTAATCATGGGGTTGAGAGGTAAGAGGTTAATTCTGCTCTCTCTTTCTAATTGGTTCTTACTTCTGCTGCATTATGTAACTATTTTCTCATCTTTTCTTCTCACCATGCAGCTTTTTCTGCCTGTGCTTTGAGTTCTAGCAACTGGCTTCTTTGATTGATCATCTGGGTCTTCATGAGTTGTGATGGATTTTGATAAATCTTGATGAAAATGATTGAGACAACCATAATGTATTTGCTGCTATTTGTCTTCATCCTTTTCAGGATGAAGGTCATCATAACAGATTCAGTTGCATGATTTTTTTTGCCATTTTGTATCTTCTATAGCAGAACAGATCAGAGATCAATTTGAAGGTGAATTTGGTTTTCCATTGTTGTGTTATTTCTTGTAACATGAAATTCCACTACTTGTCTCTTGCACAACCCATGTGAAATTAATCCTCATCCAAGATTGGAATAAAGGCCTAATAAAATGCTATTTCACTTTCCTTCCTCTGCACAGGACTTTACACGAGCACAATTTACTCTTAACATGGAATTTTATTTCCACCTCTCTCTCTCTC